GAAATGTGTCTGTCTGTCTGTAAACAATTTTTCAAAATGCTACTCCTTCTAGTTTTAATCTGATTTCAATATAACTTGGCATACAAGTAGACTATACAAAGATACATAAATCTGTATATCGGTTTTTGATTTCATTGAACAGTGTTGCCGTGGTTACTAAAAATAGAAATTTCTGTGAAATTGTTTCAAAATGCTACTTCAGATACAGTTTTAGTCTGATTATAATACAATGTGGCATGCAAGTAGTCTACAGTAAGAACATAAAGAGACTTATTCAATGATCATTATTCTATTAATTGCTATTGTGAAGTTTCAATTCCCAACTGCTTAAGTACTGTCCTCTTTCTTTGCTATAAGTACAAGCCAGTAGAGCTTCAGTCTTCAGTCTCGACAGAGACTTATGATTTGAGTTTGAGTTTATTCGGATGTAAAACGGGTTGGTCACGTGATCAATTCTAACTGTCCATCCCTATTCATCAGTAGGCATATTCAATATCATAATAATATATAGTTGATAATTGTACTAAGCCTATTATACATACATTTTGATTATTAATAAGTCTGATTTTTATAGGATATTAGACCACAGGAGCCTGACCATGTGCCTCAACCCAATTTACCCATGACCAATATGACCAGTACTAGTGATCATCTAATAGAAGCATTGGAGGTAATCATTAAATTGGAACTTAAAAATATTTTTAATAAAAGATGGGAAATATATAAGAAATGAAATAACTCTCTGTTTCATAAATAAGTTATATGTTCAAATGTATTTACAATGACATTTTTCAGATTGACAATGTTGTCTTAGAAGAGGTTGAACTGGACATGCAAGAGGTACGTCATTTCCATATATGTTTTAAATTTACCAATAGCCTATGGCTCATGTGTGAGAATTTGTCTGTTGTCCGTAATCTCATTGTGATAAATCAAACTTTTCACTTTCAACTTGTTATCTGAAACACTTTGCTGATTTAAAATGAATAATCCTTTCACAGAGTATTGCTGGGTTCCATGAAAAGTGTTTTCTTTGTGATAATTTAATATTATATATGTTTGAATTTCTGTAGACTATACAACAAATGCATTTGATTTTTTTTTTATTTCTTACCTTTTTCAAGTATACCATTTTATTCCAACTAACCAAGGTCTTTCATAAGGGGAGAGAATCAAAATATTTGGCAGACTCATTTTAATAGTATAAGAATCAATTAAACTCGTAAACATTAAAAGCTGTTGAAGGCATATCTTAGTGTAAGGAGGTTTTGTATTATTTTTAAGGACTCTCTCTACACCAGTGTAAAATGATTTTTGGACATGGAGGAAAATATATTGCATATAGGTGTTAACATTGGCTTATAATATGTATGTAATTTTCACTATATGGTATGTTGCATTTACCTCCGGGAGAAATGTTCAAACACAGCACAGTATCAGTGAATGGAAATCATCGTTGTTAAGTCCCACAGGGAAAAGACATGCAAAATATAACATTTTCAATCAATTTATTTTGGCCTCTTAAAATGTTCAGAAAATTGGAATTGATTAGAAATATAGTAATTTACTGTAAATGTCTTAGGATTTAGATCTAGGTGCAGATCAATTAAAATGTTCAGAAAACTTGAATTGATTACAAAATGAGTATTATACTCATTACTGTAAATGTTTATTTTTTTTAGAATTTAGATCTAAGGGCAGATAACTCTAACTGCAAAAGAATATCATAGAATCAGAACTCTCTAGTGTGCAGTGTAGAGAGGCCCGGTTCTTAAAGAATTTCAAAATTTGAGTGGGGTCCACAGAAGGGTATCAAAATTATACATGGGAATAAATCAATACATAAGAAAAAATGCTTAAAATTCTTTTTGTCTTTAGATTAGCAGCAGAGCCAAAATTAATCATATTTATATGCAAAGAATCACCCATTCCTGAACCAATTAAGCATTACACCAGATTAAGAGGAAGAACAGGTTTCCAGTATCCAAAACACTAAACAGGTTTCCAGTATCAAATTTTCCATACAAAATAAAAGAACACATCCATAAGTGATTGGTTCAGAAGCCTTCCATCCGACCATCAACAAACAGTAGAAATTAACAATAAAAAAATCAGAATGACTTGAAATTGAATGGGAGTCAGTGCCTCAAAGAACATTCTATTTATCCACATGATGTTGAAATGTGAAGTATGTTGAGGATACAAACAGTGTTCACTAGCTGCTTTAAAAGATCAATCTTCATGTAGAACTCCTCCAAGGCAAGAACTGAAATTCTTTGTCTGTCATTCTGCAAGAAGTTACTAAATCACACTGACCCAAATCATCGTAAACTACGGCTAAAACGTATCATCTCCCATTTTGGCCATGGTTGCATGAGAAGAAAATATTTCATAGCACATTAAAATATTAACAAATGCGAGTAAAGCATAGTCGGATTATCAACTTTGGTGTGACCTTTCAATACCCAATCATAGTGTACGAAATACTGCTGATGTAAATTGTTGATTTCAATTGCGTTTGAAACAAAACTTGTCATTGACTAAATATGACAAAAAAGTAGAGGTGTAAATATTCAAGATTACGACATTTTTTGTGATCAAGCAGCCAAGGGTAGGAGAGAACTATATCGCTGACTTGGACCATGGCTTAATCAAGACTATGACTGATGCATTACATTGCCTTTTATCACATCCAATATAAAAATTTCCTTTGAAAACAGTCAGCTTATGAGAAAAAAAATTTATAAGACTAATCCAAAAAAAAAAAAACAGCTATTAAACTAACTAAACAAGCATGATATTTAGTGTGCATTATATTTTGAGATGTCATTTATTTTTGAATTTGTCAACATATACAATCTGTTTTCATCCGTCGTCCTGTGTCATCCATCTTGCCTTAACATTAAACATTTTCATAAAGCATTCATTCAATTTCCACCAATTTTTACATATAGCATCTAAAGTTGAAGAGGAGTAAAAATTGTAAAATTTCTTGGTCCTTTCCCTTAGCCAAAGAGTAGGGCATAAAGCAGTAAAACTTAAATGCAATCGAGAAAAATGGTTCCACGTTTGAAATTAAAAATCAAAATTTTGAATACCATGGCCTCTGGTTCTTAACAATTACCACATTTATTTAAATTGTTGGAAAGTTGATACATGATACTCAGGTGACCTATAAGGCCCCTGGACCTCTTGTTATATTGTTAGCATGAATAATTTTATATGTTTCTTATGTAATTTGTTCATTATTTTATCATATATTGATTCATGTAAAATTTTCTCTTTAAACTTTTATTATGTACTTGCAACCATCTACTTGCCAAATAAATTAATTTTATTATAGTATTAATTCAATTTTGTCCAAATCAAAACCCATAGGTGTATGTTAGGGTTAGGGTCACATTAAGCAATTATCTTCTGAACAGAACTCACATTACATCTAAGTTTGTTGAAGTCATTTTCCATAGAAGGAGTTTAATTTGAAATATTTAGGTGAAAATCTTAATGGTATGTTAACTTTAAAATTTTTCACTCATATGGAGATGCTGTCACTTGCTGGTGTCACGGTCATTAATTAAGTCCTAAACTGGACACTAGATCAGGCTATTGAGCATAAAGGGATCTTTCTAGTGCAAACCTCTCACAGGACAAGGGTTTATCCAGAAGATTGGTCTATACACCCCATAATGGGATTCGAACCCGCAACCTAAAGATTCACTCCTTATTCTGTCTATGTCATAATGACTCACCTCAAATATGTATACCGTATAATCCCTATTAACCATTTCTGCCCCTATAAGCGCCCACTTAGGTCTTTTACAATTGTCAGGAAATAAGGGACCCCTGTACAGTGATTAAAATCAACAAGAATCATATCAAAATATTGAAGAAAGTGAAAATTAAACTTGTCTATTATCCAATTTTTCAGTGAAAAATGAATAATTTAGCATAATTTGGTGGATTATTTTCACTTTAAATAAAGTTAGACATTATTTTAGTGGTTCCTTAATTGTCGTTATTTTTTTTCAAAAGATTTTTTAAATTTAAAATATGAGATTAAATATTACCGGTATAAAGAGAATACCAAAATAACCACTCCCTTTTTACAATATTCTAGGCGCGCAGGGTGGTTAATAGGGATTATAGGTACATGTAAATGAGGTTACTTTTAAAAATGCTCAATTTGAAGCTATTTTTGGAGGAAATTAAAAGTTGCCTTATTATCTACACTTAAATTAAATTAAAGAATGCCTTAAACATGACAGTTGAATGATGTAATTTGTGGCATTTAATAAGAAATATGTTGATATAAGAAATTAATTTATTTTTCAAAATCCAAGAGGTACATGAACCACAGATATGCTTCACACCCACATATTTACACCGAGTTAACAGGCTCCATGACATATGTCGACATAAAGTACTGTAAAATCACATATTTTTGAGGGGGTCAAATTTTCATGGTTTGAGGAAAATATATTGGTTCATGGGGATTTTATTTCATGGTCGAAGAATTGTTCAGTAGTAATATATAATGTAAAATTTCATTTCATGGTGGACTTAAATTCCTTGGTCTCTTCATACGTTGAAAACCATGAATATTAACCCCCCAAGAAAATTAGTGATTGTGATGCATGCCCTCATGAATCTTCAAAAATTACATTGATTTTTTAAACTTGAATATCTGTCAAAGCATTTATTGACATTTTAATACTTCTTATTTACAAAATATGTTTCCACCAGCATGAGATTAAAATGATAATTATTATATGAATCCAATAATTCATCTCTCTGATTGTCATTTTAATACTTCTTATTTACAAAATATGTTTCCACAAAGTGATACAAACTGAAATATTTGAGCAATGTTTCAATTCTGACATTAAGTTTACCCACCATCTAAAGTTATTTCAGAGAAACCACTTTAGCATCTTCATCTGAGCAAAATACTATTCCCTAAGTCTTGCCTAACATGCAAGTGAAATGTTCTTGTAATTTACATTGATGTTGGTTTCTTTCAGGCTGAGAACTTTAACAAAATCTTGAAATCTTACAGTGATTCTGATGTAGAGTTTGAACAACAAAATAGGTATTTATCATCTTTTGGATTGCAACGGAATGCAATTGTAGGTGATGGTAATTGCCTTTTCCGCTCCATCAGTTTTTCCTTGTATGGTAATCAAGATAACCATCTCCAACTCAGAAATCTTGCAGTGGACACGCTTAGAGGTAATATGGTTCTTTTTCAAAACTATTTTCTTCAGGATCCAGGTACCCCGGAAGAGCAAATCAATAATTTAGGTCGACCCAACAGTTACGCTGGACAGGAATGCATATTAGCTTTATCAATGGCATTAGATATTAATATTCTTGTTACTCTTGGTGGTGATGTACAGAATAACCCAGTCTCAACTTATGAAAATACTTTTTCACAAGGTCAACCCCAACAAACTATTCATATTGCATGGAGAAGGGCAGGGGGAGGTCATTATGAAGCTGTTACAGAAATAGATACTGAAAATCAAGAAGTAGAAAGGTCAGATCCCATTGTCATAGGTCAAGATCACATTAATACAAGGCCATGGCTCACTGAATTCTCGAAACCTGTCAATATGGAGGATTTCAAAATTAGGCCCCCTCAGTCTCTAATATCTACACTTCATTCTTATGTAAAATCTGAGGAGACAAGTCCAAATGATGATCTTCAGACACAGAAAAAAACTGGTGCAAAAATATGTCCAAAATGTAAAGTTTCATTTAAAAAATTAAGCAATTTAAAAAGTCATATCAAGAAATTCCATTCATCTTCTGTTCCATCTCTTTCAGAAAATACCAAACGTAAACTGCAGCCCTGCATGATATCATCTTGTGCAATGAAGTTTCTAACCATCGATCAACTTTTGGAGCATGCTATTAATGCACATGATGCAGACATAAAAGTTGAACATCTTACCTTTGAAAGTTTAGCTCTCTTTTCAGATTTTCGTTCTAAAGAAGAAATGTCATCTAATACAAGGTTTGTGAGGAGATCAAGGCCACAAGTAAATAAGAAAGGAGGAAAAACCTACTCCCTAGTGTGTCATCGGAATGGGCCAGTTTCACAACACAGAGCAAAAGGCGTTCAACCCAAGACTTCCAGAAAGAATAAAAAAGGGCATTGTCAGATCAATAATTTATGCCCTGCACGTATGTCTGTTTGTGAGATGAAAGATGGTAAAGTTATGGTAAAGTATGTAAAGTCTCACACTCATTCACTGTCATTCGAGCAAACGAAATATTTACCGATTCCGGATAGTTTAAAGTCAGAAATTCTAAATATGCTTTCCCTCAAAATTCCTATCAACTGTATAATAGACAAAGTACGTGAACATTTTAGTGGTAGAGGCAACAGAGATAATTTAGATGATCTAAAATATTACCATCTTATTGACCGAAAGAAAATTCATAGTTTGAAAACAAAACTTGCTGATCCAACAATTATACAAGATAGTAATGATGCTATTTCAACTTCTTTAAAGGTGGAAGCCCTGCGACAAGAGTCTTTTAATCCAGTCCTGATCTTTAAACAACAGGGAATTGAAGATCCTTCCAAGAGGCTGAACAAAGAGGACTTTATTTTAGCTATAATGACCAAAGAACAACTGAATATGTACAAATCATTTGCAAGTAGAATTTTATGTATGGATTCAACCCATAAAACTAATAGTTACTCTTTTAAGCTTATAACTCTGATGGTACCTGATGAATTTCGTAAAGGTTATCCAGTTGCATTTTGCATTTCAAATAGAGAGGATGAAACAACAATGTCTCTCTTTCTGTCTTCAGTTAAAAACCTATCCCCTGAAACCAAAGTCAAGGTTATAATGACTGATGATGACAATGCAGGATGGAATGCTGCAAAGTCAGTCTATGGGTCTGATTTGCAACATTTTCTATGTACATGGCATATTCAAAGGTCATGGATTAAAAATATCCATAATCATTTTAGAAATGATGTTCATAAAACAGAGGTGTATTGTTACCTATGTGCTTTATTACAGGCAAAGTCAGAAAATGACTTTATTAAATACAAAGATGCATTGGTTTCCAAACTAAACAACTTGAATCCCAGTTTCTTAAATTATTTAAATGATCATTACTTTAATCGCCCTGAAAAATGGTCATTGTGCTTTAGGAAAGGAACTGAGTATGGCAATGTCAATACCAATATGTTTGTAGAAAGTTTTCATAACCAGCTTAAAACTATTTATTTCTCAGGAAAGCGTAACAGAAGAATAGATGTGTTATTGGACACTTTGTTAAAGATAGAAAATGATCACTTCATTAGACATTTACAACGTGTCTCATATAATAATCCTTCAGATGAAGATATACGTATTACAGATAGGCATCGTAAAAGTTTAGAAATAGATAATACAAAGGTCAAACAAATTTCAAGCTCTGTGTTTTCATTGGAATCGGGTCCTGAAAACTACATCATAGAGGCCATACTGAGTGATTGTTCTCAAGAACACTGCTACACTAAGTGTAAAAATTTGCCTTGTATAAATCTATGTTATCATATGTATAAATGTAGCTGTGCTGATTACCACAATGGTCACATTTGTAAACATATTCACAAGATTCACTCTCTCTCCAGGAGCAGAGTAACTCAAGAGGATGATTGTCTTGAAAATGACCTACAGCTGTCATATCCAGAGCCTGCAAATTCAACTGCTGAACCAAAAAGAAAGTCATCAAGTATCCAACTCCAACGTATAGAGGGTCTTCTCAATGAGCTGGGCGATCAAGTTAAACATCCGCAAGTTAAGAAATATAGATTATCAACAATAATTAAATCTTTAGAAAGTTTAATTTCAGGGAATAAAGCTTGCATGAGCTTCCAGGATGACATACCAGCAGGAGAACTTGCAGCAACTGAAAGAATTGCTGGGAATGCAAACAACATTCTGCAACCCAGATTTCATGCTACTCAGAAGAAGAAAGGCAGACCGAGAAAAGCTCCCCTTAAGAAACCAACAGAGGATGACATGAAAAGACTTTTACAGTAAGGCCATCATTAAAAAAATTTTGCTTGCCATACTATGATCTAGAAGTTATATTCTAGCCCGAAAGAGAGGAGGTTATCAGTTGTGAGGTCGAATCAAGAGTATACAGGAATTTGCCTTGGGTTTTATTCCAAATACTGCGAGACCGAAGGCTCACAGTACACCCTTAGTTTGTCCTTGATAACAAATATATTTCATTCTTCGTAGACCTAAGGCTAACTGATGATATTTCAAATTATTTTGTACTACAATGTATTGTTACATCAAATTCATTGGTGACTTAAAAATAGAGAAACTATGTATTGTGATGTAATGTTATTTACCTCTGATTCAAAGTCAGGTGCATATAGAAATTTACACTTGACTTGCCAACCAATTAAAACTCTTGTTACAAGCTAGGTAGGAAAAAGGCACTGTTTTACCCTTGAGATACTTTTGTGTTTCTACCTGAGACAAGTAGAATTTATCCATGCATCTATCTGTATAAAATTTCACACGAGTGTATATTCATATCTGAGAGGGAGTTGCATTATAATTTTTTGGCTTGTAGGTTAAGTTGATACCTGAAGGCCCATTTCTTATGCATTGCAGTCGCCTGCGTGGCGCAGTGGTTAGATCATATTCATGCTGACTTTAAAATAGTCGCGAAGTAAGTAGTTATTTACCTTGATCAAAGTCGTTGGGAATCAAATCACTGTAGAAATTTACACTTGACTTGCCAATGAGAAAACTCTTGTTAAACCTAGGTAGGCCCCGTGTCGCAGTTAGGTGCTGGCACAAAAAAGATCCCTCACTGCTCAAACGCCCTGAGTGCCGAGCATAGGACAAAATTTGTAGCCCTCCACCTGCAAGTTGTGGCGTCCATATGAGTGAAAAATTCTCGAGAGGGACGTTAAACAACATACAATTAATCAATCAATCTTATGCATTGCTTTAAAAAAGTCATTTCTAAATATCTAAGATTTCTTTATGAACAGAGATCAAGAGCAACCAGGGCGGTCAACAGAGGAATCAACTGCAACCACGACAACAGATACATCCCATGGATCTGTTGCACCTTATCCACCACTGCGTTTGGTTCCTCCCCCAGAAAGACCAATACAGCTCTCAAACAATGAGGAACAAAACTTGTTTTCGTAAGTCAATTTTCAAAGTAAAGATAAGACACATACATTTCAAATCAATAATTTTTTTTCAAATAAGTCCAGTAAATGATTATATGTCTTCATTTAAGTGTTGGTGAGGGAGGCCTGGGACAACCATCTTGGATGAGGATTCCACCATCAATGCTGGGCAGAAGGATTACTGTCATCCAAAACGGAAAGCCTCAGCAAATTATCTTTACTGCAAGTGGTATGCTAACTTTTCAATCATATTTTGTAACAAATCCAAAACTGGGACACTAAAACAGTGATGCAACACATTATATACCATGAAATGATAAACAGATTTAACAATTTACCAACAGGTGACCATGGAGATTCTGACCATGAATAAGAGTAGATTTATGTAGCTATGACATCATGTCAGTCCAGTAGTAGGCTGGCAATGGCAGACAGGCTTATGCCTTAGCCAGTGTCAATAGCTACACCATTTCTACTTGGGCATCAAGATTCAGGATTTGAAGACAACCCTTACAACCAACAGATGAATCCCTACAGCTCATGCGGTTTACCAAGGGTAGAGTTTTATGTTGCTTTGGATATCATGTCAGTCCAGTAGTAGGCTGGCAATGGCAGACAGGCTTATGCCTTAGCCAGTGTCCATAGCTTCATACTCTTTATCCCAGAAGATATATATCCAACCACTCCAGAGGATGCATAAATTAAACTATGTAAAGGACAGGTATTTAAGAACATATACCAGTAATACATATTCATTCAGTAAGTATTTTTTAACTTCAATTATTTGTCAAGAAAATAAAGGGTATTGTTCCTACTATTAGACATGTACATTGGTATGCTTTTATTGTTGTTACTAAATTTGTATATAATTATGTTTGATTAACAGTCAAACCTCATTATCTCAAACTCAATGTAACCAAAGGAAAAGTAGTTGAGCCTTTTAAATGACTTTGACATAATTTCATGTTATTTAAATTATAAGTGTTTGAGATAGTAAAGTTTAACTGTAACATACACTTTGGTATTAAATATTGGGAAAATAATCAAAAAAATATATTTTTAGTTTCTTGGCTCACTTTAACTGTTTCCCAACTGATGACGCCCGGACAGTTATTGTGAAAAAGCAATGCACCTACTTATTACTTAAGGGTTCACTTTGTCTGTCTGTCTGTTTGCTGAACTTTACCATATCATATTGATGAAATTATTGTCTATAGCTTGAGTTATATTCGGTCAAAGTCAAGGTTGTAGGTAAATTGCAAATGATTAGTACATATAGTACTACAAGTACAAGGTCATTGGTTTGGCCCACATGGATAAGGTGACATTTTAGTCCACCTACAAATGTTCAATTTTGGGAGTACAGATACATGTACATCATCTTTTGCTACATTGAGTGACTTTTATATATATTTACTAAAGGATGGGTTTTACCATAAGTCTTTCTAAACAGGCTCAAAATAAAGTAAATGTGACTGAAAAAAAAATCTGAGAAGAAATTATAACTTGTTCCCTATGCATTGTGTGATTTGGAAGTTGAGACATCTTTAGTTTACAGTACATGTTTAATTCATTGGTGCAAATAGTTTGTAATTCAAGGGCAGAAACTCTCATGGCAGAATAGACAAGATTATGGTTCTTTAATTTATTTCATAACACATATTAGTAATTTAGGTTACTTTAAATTAAATTTACATACAAAAATGGGAAAACTTTGATTTAGAGAAAAAAAAACTGTCTGCCGTGCCATGCGGGTCTTGGGGAATTTGAAAAATATTTTTAGATGACAAGATACATATTAAAAATATATTAAGAAAAATTCTCATAAATTCTAAAGTATATTTTAGTTTTTTGAGGCTTTTCTATTTGCAGGTCAACATAGTAAGAATGGCAACACATACAGCTGTAAATGGTGTTTGTGTGTGTATATATGTGGAATACAAAGAAGATACCTGATATACACTATTACATTTATGAAATACATCAGGGAAATTAAATATTTGAAAGAAGATAAATTTGTAGATAAAATGTTGAAAAATAGATATTTAATTTTCTGGTGTGTCAAGGAGAAAACAAGGAATCCATGTCCTCTTTAAAATTTGGATATTTCCATCAAAATACAAAATACAATGCAACATTCTTCTTTAAAAAAATTAGTTTTCCAAAAATAACTTTTTTTCTTAAGAAAAAAAATACCACTGAAAATTGACCCCCATAAGAAAAAGAAAAAAGCTTACTTGATCTAGTCTAAGTACAATATTTGAGCATATTCTGATTGACTAAACATTTAAATCATTTTTAAGAGGTAGTCTCCATACTGCAAGGTGTGTGCCAAAAATAATTATAATATAAATAATAAACTATGTGTAGAAAACTGTTACAATTATGAGAATACAATAAAAAAAAAAACAATGTGATTGAGTTTTTTTTTTTTTTTTTTTTGAATTATTTGTCTGCAACTGTGTTTTAGATTTTTAAATCCTTGATTTCTCCTTTGAAAACCTGACAATTCATGGAAGAGTCAATGCAACAGCTACTGTTCTGTGTGAGCATAAATTTTGAGAGTATAATGTCAACAACAAAAAAAAAAACATACATTTTGTCTCCTTGTCCATGTTATAGTTTTTTGAATGGAGTATGTGTATTTCACAAACCTTTTCTATTAAAGCAAACTACCCTTTGAAATGTAAATATGAAAAATACATACATATATATTTTTATATTTACATTCCAAATGTAGTTTGGACTAAGCTTTTTTAAATCATTGTACTTGTTTAACAGGCACCTGAGGTTATGATTGTGCAATTATAATTGAAATGTTTGAATATATTTTAATAAGGCACTCCATAAAGAGAGTGCAGGCAAGCCATGCTAGGGGAACCTTAGGGGTATCAATTTTAGGTTTGTGACAAGTCAGAGTGCATTAAATATCAAATATCAACCATTTTTCACATCCTCTAAATTTTTTTATTAAATTTTTTCCAATTTTTATTAATTCAAAAAGGGAATTGTTTTTTCAGGGTAAAATGGGAGGGGGTTTCCTGCATAAATTCTTTTTTGATTATGTTTTGTTCATATGATCATAGTCGTTTAAATAGCTTTCCAAAACAATTTGTATTCATTTGGAATTTTAATTTATTTTTAATGTAGTAAATAAATTATTGTTTCACCTAACGTTGTACATAGTTTTTTTCTAACAAATTGGATCTAGCCAATAATAGATAAGTTTTTTTTTTAATTATATAATAAATACAAATATATTTTTATATTTACATTCCAAAAAGTTTGGACTTTTTTTATAACACACAATGTTTAACAGGCTTTAATGTTGCTTATAATTGAAATGTTTGAATATATTTTAAAAAAAAAGAATAGGCATCTGCTGGGGGGAGGGGGATAAATTTTCATTATGACAAGTAAGAGTTAAACAAAAAACATTTTTCAAAAATAAATTTTTTTAACACACAATTTTTTTCCAATTTTTATTAATTTATTGTAAAAATTTTTTTTTGTTATCAACAAGTAAAATGGGATAAAATTAACTGCTCTTGATTTAATTTTTCAATATGCCCAATTAAGGTATTTACAAAATTTATTTTGCAATATATTATAATTACTTTACTTTAAAGTAAACTAATATAACATACAAGTGACACAACATTTCATATCAGACAGTCTGATTAAAATCAAACCTTCTCTAGCTCCTTTTCATTCATGCAACAAACAAAATAAAAAAGGAGCTAGTAAAGGTTTGAATTTAATCAGAGTGTATATCAGACTGTTTTAGAGGTATCTTTTCGAAAACAAGTTTTAAAAAAAATATATATATTGCAAAATAAATTTTGTGAAATAACAAAAAAAATGTAAACAAATATACACACAACGTTTCTATATCGCACTGCTTTAGAGGCATCTTTTCGAAACATTTTTTGGCCTTGAAAAAGGCCGTTTTGACTGTTGACTGGAAGAGGACAGCTGACCGCCAAAGGTAATCTGTGTACAAAACCATGGAGAGAGGAGACAGGCTGCTCATCACAGGACTCGCCGAAGGGCTGAGAGAATGCTGTGGTAGAAGCATCTGTTCCCACGATCATTTAAATGCACACCATCCTTGTCAAACAAGTTGCTTTTAAAGAATTTGTGAGGAAAGAAGAATACCTTCTTCCCCTGCTCAAAAGCACCAAATTCTTTAAAAAGGAACTTGTTGACACCTTTCTTCTTGCGATCATAAGATCGCTGAGAAAGGCCCCTCGGCCGCTGCCGAGAGAAAATGGAGGCAACAATGATGGTAGAATCAGGATGCTTCTCTCGCAACACGGTAATCAGCCTCTTCAGCTTCACCAGGACATCAGTGGCTCGGGTCTGGTCATTGATGTCATTTCCCCCCAGCTGAAGCAAAATAACATCAGGACGTTTCCTCCTTACCAACTCCATATCCAGGTGGTAGACCTGCGGAACAGTTCTTCCCCCAACTCCATGGAGATGCACATCAGCATTACTCAGTGGCATGTCCTTGCCGTTGACCCTCATCCAGTCTTTCAGTCTTCTAACAAAGCTGTGGCCACAAATCAATATCTGCTTTCGCATGGTGCCAGCTGTGATATGAGGCAAAGATTGAGAGTCGGCTCTATTTATACCTAATGTAGCGCGGACGTCAAAGAGAGCAATTGACGTCAGCAAAACTCTACGGAAGTTGTTGAAATTGACAAGCAATACGATGGATACTTGTGTTTGTTTTGCATTTTATACCTTTATTTCTGAGAAAATGATTACTCCAAAGATATAAAAAAAGAAAGTACATAATTTTCAACTATTTTGTAATCAAATTTTACTAATTTCAGGTTTTATGATCAATATATTATATATTTTAAAGTGTAAGAAAGACAGCACAGCTGTTCTATGCATGGGTTTTTGTCGTTTTTCAGAGGGTATCTCTTACATTTGATAAGGAAAAGCATTTAAAAAAGTAAATT